TTTTTTTTTTTTTTTTTTTTGAGACAGGGTTTCTTTGTAGCTTTGGAGCTGTCCTGGAACTCACTCTGAAGACCAGGCTGGCCTTGAACTCACAGAGATCAGCCTGCCTCTGCCTCCAGAGTGCTGGGATTAAAGGCATGCGCCACCAACGCCCGGCTCATATGGCAGATTTATGCCGCCCAAAACATCAGTGCCTGAGTTGGGCTGGGGCTGACGTAATAGCACCCTTGCATACAAACCCTGGCTACCATCCCTGGCACTGCAAAAACTGGGTGTGGTGGTTATATCCTGTAACACTTGGGATGTGGAGGCTGGAGAATCAGGGGTTCAAGGTTACCCTTGGTTGTTTGTTGAGTTGGAAATCAACCTGGGCTATATAGGGTCTGAATTTGAATCTGGGACCCACGTGATGGAAGGACAGAATTAACTTCCTGCAAGTTGCCCTCTGACCTTCACAGGAGCCCCAAGGCTGACGAATCCCCATCTCGCCCCTGAATTATGCAAAAACGATTAGTAAAATTGTAATCGAATCTCAAAGACTTGTAATCAGGAAACTCGGCCCATGCTCACTTGTGGCTTCTCAAAGCCTAGTGCCCTTTCCCCCTGTGGTCCACCTACCTTCTGGGCCATCCCCAGGGGGCACCACGCTGTCACACTTGGCCTCACACTGCTGCATGGTAGATGGCCGCAGGGCCTCGGTACACTCTCTAGATGGCTGGCCCGTGTGGCTGGTGCAGCGCACTGTGCGCTGCTGCTGGCCGAGGCCACACTGTGAGGAGCACTGAAGAGAGGAGCCACTGAGTCATCTCTCTAAGACCACTGTCCTCACCCTTATCTATCCCACAGGGCAGAGCCCACCTACCTCACCCCACTCGCTGGCCACCCAGCGGGCAGGAGGGCAGCGGCGCAGGTTACATCGCATAGTGGCTGGTGGCTTGGCTGAGGGAGGGCAGTGCCCAGGGGGCAGAGTGGATCGCTGATCTGCGCTCTTACAAAGGACCACTCGGTGACGTAGGCCAGGCCCACAGCTCGGGGTGCACTGCGGTTGGAAGGGGTGTTTTACATTCAGTGGATGCGTGGGTGCTAGGCCAGTGTGACACAAGGAATGCACAGGTAGCTGGTGGCTCCTGTGCTGTCCTCCGGCCCAGTTGTTAGTGTGTCACCCACAAGCCTTACCACCTGCCCCAGGCTGGGACCATCTTTCATACGCAATGAGACAGACCACGCCCTGAGTCCAGAAGCCTTGGGACTCATAATGCACCTCTCTTGATCATGCTAGCAGTGGGGCTTGGAGCAAGATTGCTTCAACAGCTTTTCCACACAGACAGCCCAGTTCCTGTGTGCTTTCTGCATTGAGAGTGGGTTGGGTGGGAAGAAGGGTGGAAGCTGACCTCAGACCACTCCAGCGCTGCCCACTCGGGAGGGCACATTGGGCCCTGGCAGGCCTCCAGCACTGGTGGGCGTGGCTGTGGACAGGCACTGTCGTCTAGGGCTTTCTCCTCTGCAGCAGACACCCGGCGTTGACACACCACTGAGCGGCTTCGCACACCAGCATCACAGCTACGGCTGCACCGTGACCAATTTCCTACAACCCAACTGTGGGGGTGGAGGGACCCGTCTGAGTGCTGCACAGGACAGGGCAGCTCAACCAGCGAGTTGCCAGTTTCACCTATCCCCGTCTTCCCCAAACTGGCACTAGGCAGCTCCTCCCTCAGAGATCACCTATAGCCAAACTTCAGTTAGGAGGGAAGGCTATAAAGAGAACCCCATTTCTTGGGCTACTAGCTTGATTACGGTGCATGGCAACTCAGGCTGTAGAACAATTCAGTGTTTTAATTGCTTTTTGGTGTATGTATGTTTGTATATGTGTGTGCACAAGCATGTGAGCACTTATGCCAGAGGTGACCTCACGTATCTTCCTGTACTACTCGCCACATTTTTTTAAAGACTGTTTCTCGTTGGACAGAGCTCACTGACTGGCTAACCTGGTTGCCATTCCAGTTCCAGGGATCATTTGTCTCCAGCCTCTCCTCCTAAACTAGGGTTAGGTGGTTAGGTGCCTGCCACTGTGCCCACATTTTGCTTGGGTATCTTGCTTGTGACACATCAACCGAGTCATTTCCCCAGCCCCTGTGTGATTTAAAATTTTAAAAGACTTGTTTTTTATTTATATGTGTATCTGTGTTCATGTCTATGTGAGTGTGTGCACACGTGTGTGCGGGGGACAGAAGGGAGTATTGAATCTCTAGGAGCCAGAGTAACAGTCATTTGTGATTGTCTAACATAGACACTGGGGTCAGAACTCCTCATGATTAAGAAGCAAGTGCTCTCAAACCACTGAGCCATCTGAAATTCCTGCTCATTGTTTTTTGAGACAAGATATTAGGTAGTTCAGGGAGGCCTCCAATTCCCTAGGACTTCTTGGTTGGCACGGAGCCTTTTTTTTTTTTTTTTTTTTGAGACAGGGTTTCTCTATGTAGTTCTGGCTGTCCTGGAATTGGCTCTGTAGACCAGGCTGGCCTCGAACTCACAGAGATCCACCTGCCTCTGCCTCCGCCTCCTGAGTGCCGGGATTAAAGGCGTGCACCACTACCACCCAGCTGGCATTGAACTCTCAACCCTTTGTCTCAGACTCCCAAAATCCGGGATTACAAGCATGGACTGCTACATTCAGCCGACAACCTGGCTTTGACTTTCATTCTCCTGAATATTTGACACCTTGACCCCATGAGCCTTTCCAGAACTCATCCTATGGTCACACCAGTCCTGTAATGATCCACTCACTCTCCACTCTTCTATGAGGACTGTCCCTGATTGCAGGGAACATTCCCACCGAGCCCCGGGTCACCTTGCCCCATGGAGGACACTTACTCTGGCGGGCATGGTTCTGTGTTGCAGGCACGCTGCCTCTTGGGCAATTTGCTGTGGGCACTGCAATAGTGCGGGGCCACTGCTGAGCTGTCCAGCTGGTTTCGGCACTCCACCACTTGAACCTGGCTGCCTAGGGGAAGGGAGAAGCCCTCTCAGCCCTGACCAGCCCAGAGGAGCTCAGGTTGGCTGCAGTGCTAGTCCCTGGCCTGCACCCTGGCCTCACCGCCTGCACACTGGGCTGAGCATTTGGACCAGGGGGCGTAGTGCCAGGAGTAGGGAGGCAGTGCATCCCGGGCAATGGGTGCGTTGAAGCGGTAGCGGAGGGCAGGCAGCTCTGCCTGGGCCAGCACCTGGAGGTACAGGGAACAGTCATTGGAGGTGTCATGGAACCCCCATCCCCATAGGATACTCAGGTCCTCCAGTACTTTGCCCCCAGCTTCACTGTTACCATGACGATGAGAGATGCATTAATGGGCCCCAGGGCTTCTAGGCTCTGGGCCTGATCTGGGCCCTGTCGTAGATGAAAGGTGGTCCCAGCCAGGGGAAGGCGGTGAGGATGGGGGGTCCCAGGTAGCCCCTCCAGTAGTAGAGATTCCTGGTCCCCTTTCAGGGCTGAGGTAGAACACAGTAGTCAGAACTGAAGTCACTCTGCCTACCCTCCAAATCCCATGAAATCACAGTCCACATCCCTCTGTCTTTGCTTACCCAGGTGACTAAGGGACAGATTCAGATCTTGGATGAAAATGTGGACGGAGCCTTTGGGGATCCAGACGACGTCCTCATACCCTGGGTGGTGGAGTTCAGCTGTCACCACACACACCCGTATCCCTCTCCCTCATCCTTCACACCTAATGGCTGCTTCCAGCCATCTCATGCTACATGCTTAGAGGATGTATCACAGCAAACTCATTTGGACCTTATGAAGTATGCGGACCATCATGTTTTTCCGGCTGGGTGGTGGGTGAGGGGGGGAGGGGAGAGAGAGAGAGAGAGAGAGAGAGAGAGAGAGAGAGAGAGAGAGAGAGAGAGAGAGAGAGAGAAGGTGGTGCATAAGTGCCATGGTGTGTGTAGATCATAGGGCAATTTTAAGGAGTCTGTTTTCTCCTTTCCCATGTGGGTCCTGGGGATCAAGTTGAAGCTCTCACACTTGCACGTTACTGATTGAACTACCTACCTCTCAATTGTGTTCACTTTACAGATTATATACTGAGGCTCAGGGGAAGCTATGCAGTTCACCAGGGTTTCACAGGTAAGAAATGGCTGGCTGGGATTTGAACCCAAACTTGCCTGCCTTAGATTGGGTGGATCTAACTCCTCATGTCTCATTGACCAGTGAGGTTGAGCTGAGGCAGAGGGAAAACGGTATCATGGAAGTCACAATACATACAGGTGACAATGACATTTAAGTATCAGAGCTGGTCTTCTGTGGGCACCACCAGTGACTGCCTGGCTGTGACCACATCTTTGCTCACCTATACTCCCAACATTCTTAACTTCTATTCCTGGACCCCCACATTGTCCTCTTGTGTGTTGGATCCTGCAATCACCTTCCCCTTGGGCTGTATCTCTGCTTCCTAGTCTAGTCAGTGTCTTTTTTTTTTAATCCCCCCCAGACAGTTTTTCTCTGTGTAATAGCCCTGGCTATCCTGGAACTCGCCCTGTAGAGCAGGTTGGCCTCAAACTCAGAGATCCACCTGCCTCTGTCTCCCAAGTACAGGGATTAAAGGTGTTCACCACCACTACCTGGCCAGATGTTCTATTCTTACCCACCTACCTACCTACCCACCCACCTACCTACCCACCCACAATCTAACCCTGCCTAGAGAATGACACACATATCCTGCAACTCATTCTTTGTGGTCCCTGCCAATCAGATAGCATCTGCCCACAATCCCTCTGGTAACACTTTCAGCTCTGCCATCCTTCTAGAACCCTCTTATCTCATGCCTACTCCCTGAGCGCTCTCTTTCTCAACCCAAGTTGGAAAGGGTCTTCTGAACACCCTCCTAGTTCCCTGACAGTAAGACCTCCCATACTGGTGTAGAGAGTTCCCCTTGCACCCAGGATAGTGGAGGGGAGAGTTGCAAGTCCTTGGTCCAAACTCATGAATTTCTGTAAGTTAGATCCCAAGCCAGTAGCTAAGGAAGCCTCTTCCTAATTATGACTGTGATGGGCTAACATGAGTTGTCAATGTCACAGGATCTACAATCACTTGGAGACGCGTGCGTGCTTGCGTGCGTGCATGTTTGTGTGTGTTGTATAGATTGGGTTAACTGAGGTGAGAAGGTGCACCCTCATGGGTAGTACTGGTCCAGACTGCATAAAAAGGAGGAAGAGAACTCGGCACCACGATGGACCAAGACCCTGCAAACTGCAAGCCATATGAAATCTTCCTTAAGTTATTTCTGGTGAGGTATTTTGTCTTAATGACCAGAAAATTAAGAGCAATTCTGTGCTCCCAGGACTTTTGGGATTCCCAAGACCCTCACTGTAATTCAAATTCCACAGGATCCCCAATGCCTAAGGAGTTCCTGGTCTTGGCTACTATAAGGAGGCTAACCCTGATCCCAGCCACGGGAGGGAAGTAGAGGCAAGGTTTCTTACCATTTCCGGGCAAAGCTGGGCTGAAGACCCCCTCGATGGTCTCACAGGCACTCCCGTCACCCCCACACACTCGGCATTTGTCCTCTCGGAGATCAGAACCTAGGACCCGGTCACATCCCACATGCTGCACAGGAAGACAATGGTGGTGTTGATGGTGTCATGGAGACCTCCCACCCCAATTCTCCACAGCCTCTCTTTCCTCCTCCCTGGGAGTCTCCTCTACCTTGCACTCGCCGCTGACACAGATGTCCACTGTGTCGGGGCGACAGGGTGTGCCATCCACCACAGCCGCTGCTCTCTCCGTGTAAAAGTTGAAGCCTTCTGCTAGGCAAGTCAGTGAACAGGCCTTCACGCCCCCTGGGGGGCATGGCCCCATCAGACCTGGAGCCAGGTCACCCTGGAACTCCCTGTCTGAGAGGAGGTAAGGACAAGAGCAACAGACCCGAGACTCGACACCATGGGCAGAGGGAATAGCAATGCTTCCCTACATATAAAGTACCATTGAGCTGTATCAAGGGCTGAGTTAAATCAAGGACACCTGTTTCCCTAGGCAAAGGATGATGGCTCCGTGAGTCTATAAGGCAACTGCTATCATCCTCAATGGTCCCATGGCCTCTGGTAGGCTCACTCACCTCCTCGATATGTCTTCCATGTGTAGAATTTCCCACGGAAAGGAACACTGTCAAATTCAGAGCACTGCATTTCTCTGAAGTCCTGGGAGCCTGGGGGACAGTCCTGGAGCAGAAGTTAGGGCAGAGAAGTATTGTTACGAATGGTGGGAGTTGACTGAGTGAGGCAGGAGCCCAGGTGAGAACGGATGGTCCACACTGGGAATGAAGATGCATGAGATGGTTTGTGTCTGTGTGAATATTTGAGTTTATGTTCATGTCTGGGTACTGGGCATCTGAACTTTGGTCCTGATATTTGCATTGCAAACTTTACCAAGTAAACCATCTTCCTAGCCCTTGTGTATTTACTTTTGAGACAGGCTCTTGCTGTAGATAGGCTAGGTGGGTCTCAAACTCGTAATCCTCCTGTCTCAGCCAAGTGCCAGCATCATAGATGTGCACCACTGTACCTGGCTTGTGAGGTGGGACTTGGGTGATTCATTAAGTTAATTAAGGCTGAGCACGGGGTAGATGCCTGGGTTCTGAGTTCAAGCTCTTCTCGAGACAGGAGGTACAGGATGGAGCTGGTTTGCAAAAAGGACTGTAATACTCTTGTATGTGAGAGGTATATAGATGCTCTGATAATCCCTACATAGAGACCACAAAGGCCACTGCTCATTCCCAAAGCTTTTCCTGACCTCTGGCTTGGTGACCTGCACACCTAAACATCTCCATGATTAGGTAACAGAGCCATCTTCAGCCAGAGGGAATCCCTACATTGAAGGATGAACCAATGGGAAGATCTAGAGGGTGACTGAGATGGGGGTGGACACACACTCAACATGTGCTTCAGAAGGATGCTGGCTCAGTGAAGGCAAGCTCAATCAGGCTCTGACAGATGACAATGGGTTGAGTTGGGTCTGGATTCTGGGGGCAACTGAGCTGTGAAGGGTGAAGACACTAAACTGTATTTAGAGTGGGGTCGGGGGAGTGAGGGCAATTATTTTGAGGGACCAGGCTTCTATAGTGAAAATAGTCTAGATTAGATGACAGGGGAGGTGCTGGGTTAGAGGGAGAGTGACAGGATGAGGCGGGGGCAAGGAAGTGTGGCTGGGGCAGGACCACGGAGAACTCACATCAGTGTTGCAGGATCGGTGCCTCCGTCTCTCTCCCAGACAGTACTTGCCCCCAATGGTGGGCCTGGAAGGAGGAGGAGGCAGTGGAGAGAGATAAGGTAGGGGTGATGGACATTGAGGGTTACCTCACTGTTGGGAGAGGGTCCCAAGGGCTGACCTGGGACTGTCGCAGTGACGACTGGAAGATGACACACCACCACCACACGACCTGCTGCAGTCGCCCCATGGAGTCCACGGGCCCCAGGCCCCATCTACACCCTCTGGTCGAGACCCAAAGGGGACACACACTCGTTTGTAGCACCACTGGGTAAAAAGTTGGGGGATGGAGAGGAAAGGAATGAGTGTGACTCTGCAGAGCTCTGGGTTCAATGCCTCTTTTCTGTCATAGTATGTGACTCCTGGATCTGAAGGCAGGAGTCAGACACACTGGGTCATAGCTTAAAACAGAGGCATGGCTAAGGAGTAACACTGTTCAACTAGCAGACACGGCTTAAGTATAAATAAACCAGGGCCTATTAAACAAATGCGAGGGGCATGGTTTGAGATGCCCAGGGCTTTGGCCTCAAGCAGGGTGGGCAGGGCCCAGGGAAGACTCTTGGCTGGTACTTACCCCCTTGTCGATGGTGTGTGTTTGACATAGTGTTCCCTCAGCAGCAGGGATGCTATTGGTAATGCACCGATTGCTCTTGCTCAAACACCACAGTTCACTGCAGACTTCCTGCAGAATGGAGGAGACCTCTCAGGCCCATTGTCCCCCATGAGAATGTGTTGGAGGACCCAGTCTTAATGATGCCCCTTAGGATCACGGCCTGACACTTCTCTTGTCAGTATGTGTGGAACATTTATACTTGCTAAAAAACCTCCTTTGGGCATCGTGACCCCTATTTCAGTGCAAGAAAATAAAGATGTGGACTGGAGAGATGGCTCAGAGGGTAAGAGGCTGCTCTTCCAGAGGTCCTGAGTTTAATTCCCATATGGTGGCTCACAGCCATCTATAAGATTCGGTGCCCTCAAGCCGGGCGGTGGTGGCGCACGCCTTTAATCCCAGCACTCGGGAGGCAGAGGCAGGCGGATCTCTGAGTTCGAGACCAGTCTGGTCTACAAGAGCTAGTTCCAGGACAGGCTCCAAAGCCACAGAGAAACCCTGTCTCAAAAAACCCAGAAAAAGAAAAAAAGAAAGAAAGAAAGAAAGAAAGAAATATAATTTTACAGAAAACACGGCTACCAGACAGATGCCACACCACTTCTGTGGAACAGCCTTGTCTAACTCAGATCTTTGAAGTAGGTATTGTATTTCACCGATTTCAGGTCCTTCCAAAATCTGGAACTATGGAAGGATTTTCACTTCCTTTTAGTGCAACAACACAGGAGAGAATAATTTGAAGAGTCAGAGCTGGCTCAGGGCAAGTTTCATGTGTCGTTTCTTCAGCAATGAGTGAGTGTGTGTGGCAGGCTCAGACTGAGTCTGTGGGCCGTGGGTCACAATCCTGGGGGGTCAAATGACCCTTTCAAAGAGGTTACATATCAGATACCTTACATATCAGATATTTGTATTACAATTCACAACAGTAGCAAAATTAGCTATGAAGTAGCAGTGAAAATAATTTTATGGTTGGGATCACCACAAAATGAGGACGTGTATTAAAGGATCTGCAGCTTTAGGGAGGTTGAGAACCACTGCTTTAGATCAAGGTTAGTATCCCTGGAGAGAAGCCCCATCAGGTTCAGGGATGGCCACATCTCACAAATATTCCGAAGCCTACCTCCTACCCCACCCTCTCAGAATCTTTCCATTCAAGCATCTATAATCCTCTTTGAACAGATACTTTCCAAGTCAATCCCCGAGTTTTAGGCCACTGAGAGATCTGGATTTGAATTAACCAATGGCCATAAGGTAGCATCCTAGGGTCAGCTCCCTGTCCCCAACACTTCTTCAACAACACCCACTCCAGAGAGTCCCTGACTTCTGCCACTCACAAGGACAAATCAGGTTTTCTGGCTTCACCTAATGTATTTTCACAGTCACTTATAAAAATATCAAGCCATTCCAGCTTTAACCCCACTTTTTTTGGTTCAAGACAGGGTTTCTCTGTGTAGCTTTGGGTCCTATCCTGGCACTCGGTCTGTAGACCAGGCTGGCCTCGAACTCACAGAGATCTGCCTGCCTCTGCCTCAAGTGCTGGGATTTCAACCCCACTTCTGACATTCCTTAAGGTACAGTTATTCCAGCACTGCTTTTGGCCTCTGCTCTACAAGGAGGCACTGTTGTGTATGTAATAACTCCTAGGCCAATCCAGATTTCAACTTTGCACTGACTTGCGTTTCACTGCCTTATCTGGGCCTGGTTTTTGTATCTATAAGTTGGCCAGCCTAATGGCTGCTTTCTGACAATATCAATGAGATCGCTTACATAGGATTAGAAAACAATGGATACTGAGAATTCAGGACTAGGTTCAAGGTCTGGGGCACGAATATGATGCACATGCAGATAGGCAGTCAATGTTTGTCACATAAGCATCAGGACCTGAGTTCAATCCCCAGAACCCTATACAAAAGCCAGGTCAAGGAGCTGGAGATGGCTTAGCAGTGAAGAACATTTGTTACTCTTACAGAGGACCTGGGCTTGGGTCCCAACACTGACATAGTGTCTCCAACATTGTCTTCTGACCTCTGCAGGGACCAGGTGCATTCTTATAGGAGGGACACTCATATGCATAAAATTTAAATGCCATTAAACAAGCCAGGTGTGGTAGTGCTTGTTTGTACCCAGCATTGAAGGGGTAGACAGGTAGATCCTTGGGGCTCAGTGGCCAGCTAGGATAGCCTAATACGTGAGATCCAGGCCAATGAAAAACCTTGTTTCAAAAAGCAAGGATGCAAATAAACGGTTCAATTTAACATATTGTTGGTTCCAGCTCAAGCTTGTTATTCTGACAGTTCGCCCCTATAATGTCCTTTCATAAGACAGAAAGTCAAAGAGCAGGGCTGGAGAGATGGCTCAGCGGTTAAGAGTGCTTGACTGCTCTTCTAGAGGTCCTGAGTTCAATTCCTAGCAACCACATGGTGGCTCACAACCATCCATTATGAGATCTGGTGCCCTCTTCTGGTGTGCAGATATACATGGAAGCAGAATGTTGTATACATAATAAAAAATAAAATAAAATCTTTTAAAAAAAAGAAGAAAGTCAAAGAGCAGCCCGGACATGGAGTGGTTGGGTGTTGGAACAGAGATGGGTCAGTGGTTAATGGCACTGGATGTTTATTTTGAGGACCAGAGTCGGGAATCCCAGCTCACAAGCACCAGTAACTACAGCTCCAAGAGATCTGATGCCTGTCCTCCTACCTCAAGTCATTTGTGCATGCAAATACACGCACGCAGACACAGTAATATAAGTAAATTTAAAAGAGATAAAGATATGAGGAGATAGAGACAGACGGATATATCTATGCTGGCACAATGGCTTAGAGGGTAAGACCGCCCTGATGACCTGAGCTTGATTCTTGGAGCCTGTAATAGGAGATCTGACTCCCAAAGGCTTCCACATGCATTTGTACCTTTCACATAATGCATAGATGAAACAAAATGCTGACTTAAAAGAGTTCAAAGTACATGTTCAGAGTACGGCTGCTCATATTCTTACAGACACACTACCTGCACCCCCCCCCCAAGCTGACTCTTCATCTGTTGCTTGGGGTAACAGGTTCATTGGATAGTGTCAGCTACTATCATCTTGTTGTTGGTTTTTTGTTGTTGTTTGTTTGTTTTTCTAAAAAGGGTTCTCTGTTGTGTATCTCTGGCTGTCCTTGAACTCAATTTGTAGACCAGGCTGGCCTTGAACTCAGAGATCCACCTACCTCTGCCTCCCCGGTACTGGGATTAAAGGTCTGCACCATCACAGCCTGGTGTTACTATCATCTTAAGTTCCAGAACACAGAAGACCTTCAGAAGGCCCAGAATTACTTAGAAGGTTCTGTGGTGACCAGACAAATCAATGTTGTGGGTAGGGCAAGAGTAAAAATGTCTGGTAGTGTACAGCAGCATAAACCTTTGATCCCAGCAGCAAATGGATCTCTCTGTGAGGCCAGCCTGGTCTACAAAGCAAGTTCCAGGCCAACTAGAACTATGTAGTGGGACCCTATCTTTTTTCTTTTGTTTATTTTATGTACACTGGAATCTTGCCTACATGTATGTCTGTGTGAGGGTGTCAGATCCCCTGTAACTGCAGTTACAGACAGTTGTGAGCTACCCTGTGGGTGCTGAGAATTGAACCTGGGTCCTCTGGAAGAGCAGCCAGTGCTCTAAGCCACTGAGCCAATACCCCTTGCTTCAGGATGCGTTTCTTGGTCCAGTGAGAGGCTCTTTTGCATCTGTCTTGGGGAATAGCTGTATAAGAGCAGAGACTTCCTGTGGAGAGTATGGAGCTGGGCTGGGGTCATTAGGGCCACAGCTGGGGTCACTAGGGTGACAGCTGAAGGGCGTCAGAGACTGTGATTAAGGAAATGCTTGAGCAGAGTGGAGGAGGGGCGAACTGGCCCAAATGTCACCAAAGTGGGAAGACAGCAGATCTCCAGCTTTCAGGAGTTGGAAGGGGAAGCTGGGAGTGGGGTACCCTGTACCCCAGTTCACTTCTTTTTCTCCTGGAGTGCCACTGAATCATTTTCTGCCTTATTCCATTGAGATAATGTCTCTTACAGAACAGAGTGCTAGCAAGTGTCAGTGATTTCCCCCCATCCCGCCCCTGAAGCACTAGGGGTTCTATGGATAGATACATGGCTACACCCACTTTTTTCACGTGGGTGCTGGTATTTTGAACTCAAGACACGTGTGTTTACGTAGCAAGTGCTCTTACCCACCTAGTCACCCTCCCAGTTACTCAGCTCCTATTTTAGAGATGGGGGTCTCACTGTGCATAGCACTGGTAAGGCCTGGAACTTGTTAGGTTATGAAGTCAGACAAGCAGGCTCTGCCTCCTTCATGCTGGGATTAAAGGTGTGACCCAAACCTCCACCCCTGTCCCAGCTCAGTTATTGATGCTAAGATGAAACTTTGAGAGTCTGAACCTCAGGGAAGATAGGGGAGTTGGTCAGAGTCCCTGGAAAGCTCTCTCCGGTTCAGTACCAAGTAAACAACTCTCTCTAGGGGAAACTATATCCACCAAGAGGTCTGGATATGTTGCTCATAACTGCCTAGAGGCCTTAGAACCTAGGTGACACTGCAGCCCCCAAGTGGCCTTTTGTGGGGAACAGAAGAGGGCTCTCCCTAGCCCAGCCCTCAAATTAGCTGTCTAGTTTGTGCTTGCAAGCACAAGGGCTACATTCTTGTTGAGGCCAGAGGCCAACCTTGGCTATTGTTCCTCAGGAGCTATCTATCTTGTTCTTTGAAACAAGGTTTCTCACTGAACCTGAAATTTGTCAAGTGCGCTGGCTGGGCAGTGAGCACCAGGGATCTTCCTGCTTCTGCCTGCCCAATGCTGGGGTTATAAGCATGCACCACCATAGCCAGCTTTTATATGGTTTTGTTGACCAAACTCGGACCCTCAGGCTTGTAAAGCAAACCCTTTCCTGATTCCCTCCCTCCTTCCTCCAAGCCCAGTATTATTCTTATGCTCAATCTTTGTTACTTTAACATCTGTATACTCCATACACGCTGGTCTTCCTAGGTCCCTACAGGGAGTAGGGGGTTCATTTCACTCCTTTCCCCCTGCTTCCCCGGGAGGGTCTCCAGGAGAAGCTTCCCACCCTGTGGCCACCTCCCCTACCCAGGAAGGAAAGCAGGAAGGCTCTCTCAACCCCGTATTTACACTGACGCGATTTGACTCCATGCTGGAATCGGCACTGCTCATCAGCATCATAGGCTTGACCGGGAGCCACCGTTGGGTACACGAAATCCTGTCTGGGAGGCCGGTTATTCAGGCAAAGCCCCAGGCCCGAGCTGTGATAAGAAGAAAACAGCTATAACGTCAAGGGGCTGCAAGGCCATGAACTCATGGGCTATACCCAGTTAGGTGGGGTGGGGGAGTCAGCTCCCCCAACATGACTGTGTCCCCACTGAGGGGCTTTGTGGCTCACTCCAGAAAGCTGGTGATGTAGTCTCGACTGCAAGATGACCACACGAATGGATTGGTCTTCATGGTAATGTGGGCAGCCATGAGCTTTGCTGGGTCCTGACCACGGGCTCCGCAGCCGTTCCCCACACCATCGTGATTCATGCCGAATCTGAGGAGAGGTGTGTCGGCTCTGCTAAGCACTAAGGGAACCCACCCAGCTCCTCTCACCCTCCCCTAACCCGTGACCCCTGGCCTCACGTGTGCCCGATCTCATGGGCAATGGTGAATGCCGTGGCCAGGCCAATATCTTCGTTGATACTGCAGCTCCTCTCACGCTCACACATACCACCCACGGGGGCCAGGCCTGGGAAATAAGAATGTGGGGTGGGCTAAGGGAACCAAGGCTGTACTTGCTAGGTTCTATCCCCCTATCCGCCACGGGACGCCTCACCCCAGGATCAACACCACCCTCCATGGTGCCGGCAACCAATGGGACTCAGTACCTAGAGTGCCGCAGGGTTTGTTCTTGTAGATGCAGATGTCATAGCTGTGGGAACAGATGGCAGTGAGATGGCTGGGAAGCCTCCCTGGCTGATGCCAGAGTCTTCAGTTCTGGGGAAGAGGGTGTGAGGGTGTGTGTGTGTGTATACACGTGTGAGTGTGGGCTGCAAGTTCTCTTGGTCCTGGATGAACTCGAACTCTCCATACAGCCAAGGATGACCCTGAGCTACTGATCTTCCTGCCTCTACGTCCCAAATGCTGGTATTTTAAGTGTGTACTAATATGCATGGTTTTCTATGGTACTAGAGATTAAACACAGGTTGTCATGAATGCTCTTCAAGGACTCTTTTGATTAGCTTAACTACAACCAAGCCTGCCCCTACCCTAGACAAGGTCTCAGGAAGCCCAGCTGCCCCTGAACTCCCGATCCTCCTACCTCCTCCACTACTGGATTGCCATGACTGGTTTTCTTCCTTTCTTTCTTTCTTTCTTTCTTTCTTTCTTTCTTTCTTTCTTTCTTTCTTTCTTATGGTTTTTCAAGATAGGGTTTCCCTGTGGCTTTGGAGCCTATCCTGGAACTAGCTCTTGTAGACCAGGCTGGTCTTGAACTCACAGAGATCCACCTGCCTCTGCCTCCCGAGTGCTGGGATTAAAGGCGTGCGCCACCACCGCCCGGCTGCCATGACTGTTTTTCAACCCTGGGTTGAATCTTGCCTAAGCCTCATGCTGTGCCCACAATAGAATCAATCAGTTGGACTTCGGGATGCTGACAATAAATGACTGATATATTAAGTGACTTAATGAAGGAGTGTGTGGTTAGAGCTCAAATGTCAACCTCCCATTTTCAGGTTCTCAGCATCCTTTCTCCTTGGTTCCCTGTCCCTTTCTACCCTCCATCTCCACATGTCCCCCTTCCTTGGACTCTAATGGTCCTTTCTCCACCTGCTCCATTGGCCTCAGCCCTGGAGTGTAGGGGAAGCTGTAGCCACGCCTACTTAGGGGCTGGCTACAGGTGTGCCTGACCACGCCCTCACAAGCCTGCGAGGGCGTGGTCAGGGGATGTAGGGTGACTGCGTTTTCGCTTTCGATTTCTCTTTCAGACTTGCTGTACAGACTGCTGCCATGCCGGCTGGCTAGGTCGCTCTGTAAGTAAGGCTTTTCCCTATTAAATACCCTTATATTTCTACCTGACTCCGTATTGGTAATTCCCCACTATACTGGAGTCCTCCCTGCTCCTTACCGTGTGATGAGCACGGCTGTGTCATGGTTGGCCACACCGTTCTCTGGGATGGCGTTGCCATGGCCACTGTGGCTCACAATGGATTTCTGCCACTTACAGAAGCTGTCCAGTGACTTCCCAGCATGGTGGGTGATCTCCAGGGTGGGCTGGGGATGGGAAGATTGAGGTGCATGGATGCCCCACCACTCTGGAGACATCAGGCAGCAATGGTGTGGACAGAGAAAGGGTGAAGCACATTCCAGATACGCACCTGATCCTCCGTGAGCAGGATGAGGCGAGTGACAAGGATGTTGACCATGTTTCCCAGACTCGAGTCCTGGAAAAGTTTGGCAACCTGACCTCCAAGAAACAAGAGAAACCGAGTCTTAAGAGGAGCCCAGAACAGTTAAGGACAGAATTGTGGTGATGACCCAGTTGGTAAAGCACTTGCTATACAAGCATGAGGACCTGAGTTCAATTCCCCAAACCCACATTAAAACAAACAAAAGACAGGCAGAGGTGGAACCCTGAGGGCTCACTAGCCAGCCAGGATAGTTGAATGTGCAAGTTCCAGGTTCAGTGAGAGACCTTGTCTCAAGAAGTAAGGTAGAGAACAAAAGCCCCGCCCACAAGCTGAGGCACCATTGCCAATTGATGGCTTCTGGAGAAGAGAGAGGCCGTTTTCTTCAGGAATGTAGTTCCTGCTTGGTTGTCCATACACATACAGGAAGAATTAACAGGACTCAGCAGGTAAAAAACCAAAAAACCAAACCAAAAAGGATCCAGGTGTGGTGACACACTTTAAATCCCAGCACTCAGGAGGCAGAGAGAGGTCCAGGCCAGCTAGGGCTGTTTAGTGAGACCAGAGAGAGACAGACAGACAGACAGAGAGACAGAGAGAGACAGACAGAGAGAGGAAAAGAAAAGAGTAGATGAAATTTGGAAGGAGACATGGTTGGGGAAGTATGGGAAGAGTTGTAGGGAAGAGAGTACAGGATGGATATGATCAAAACACAATATATACACATATGAATTTCTCAAGGTTCAAATAAAAAATGTACATATAAAAAGGAGAGCCACAGAGGAAGACACCAGTGTCTGCCTTTGGCCTCCACCCTTGTGCACACATGCCCCTCTGCTCTAAAACTGAGAGCAAAAACAGTGACAGTTTGCTTTGAGTACCTTTGTGCTGGGTGCTAGGTAGAGTGTGCTGCCTGTATCATTTCATGAGCAGGTATTATTTTCATCCACACCTTAAAGATGAGGGTTCTGAGGTACAGAGAGCAGGGCACATGGCTGGTAGTGCCACAGGTGACATTCCAGTCTGCACTGCTTACCAGCAGGTCTCTCTATTGCAATTCAGTTTCTCTCTACCTGTCCTCCATCCCCTGTTCTTGTCCCCTCCCTACCCGTTCAGCGGTTGTATGAAGGATGTACATGCGTCCTTATTCCTCTGCAGTCTGAAGGTACCAATTTAAGCATCAATACAGGAAGGCAAGAGATAATGGAGAAGCAGTAAGGTGGGAAGAAGTGGCCTAAGGGTTAAGTGGACCCAAGTGATGGAGATCAGGCAAAGCAGGAATCTTGAGGGTCTTGGGCTATCCTTGTCTTACCCCAGGAAGCTTGGGAAGTTTTAAGAAATTTTGAAAGCCCAAGAAAAGGATGGGGGACTGGGACAGAACATTGAGACAATGTTATGTCAATATTATGTATCATTTATTAGTCTGCTAAACTTTTGTCTTTAAATCTCTCTCTCTCTCTCTCTCTCTCTCTCTCTCTCTCTGTGTGTGTGTGTGTGTGTGTGTGTGTGTGTGTGTTGTGTACACTTGCATGCTCTTGAATGTGTGGATGTCAGACAACCTCTGGAAGTTAGTTTTCTCCTTCTACCATGTGTAACTCAGCCAACAGAAGTCTGTTGCCTGGAGCAAGCACCTTTACCCACTGAGCCATGTCTCTTCCTGCTCCTTGTCTTCTTCTTTGCTTCAATGAAGCAAGAACCCATTCATCAAATCTTACTATATGCTATGTGTTCTATCCCTAACCATCTTTCTCTGTAGTTATTACAGACCCTGCTAACAGGGGAGAGAGTTGAGGACCAGCGAGGCACAGAACCTTGACCAAGTTCCAGTACAGGAACTAAGTACAGACAGCACTATGTATCCTTGGACTCACCACCCATGGAGTCAGCCAAGCCTAGATTAAATATATGGGCAATGGGGTGTGGTGTGGCACACTATTAAATCCCTACACTTGGGAGGTGGAGGTAGGAAGATATCGGGATCAAGGCCAGTCTCAGCTACATAAAGAGTTGAGTCTAGACTAAATGAGGCCTTGTCTACTAAGGACATGAAGGAGGAGAGGGAGGAGTAGAAAAAAATTTGCATGGTAGGCAGATAGGTGAGTGGGTGAAGTGCTTGCTGTCTAGCCACACAAATCTGAGTTTGGATCTCTAGCGCCCATATCTATAATGGCAGTGCTGAGGGTCCAGGGACAGCCAAATCCTGAAGCTCACCACCAGGCTAGCCAGCTTAGCTCCAGGTTCCGTGAGAGCCTTGTCTCAAAAAATAAGATGGAGGGGCTGTAGGAACAGCTGAGGAGATAAGAGCACTAACTTTTCTAGAGTACCTGGGTTCGATCTCTAGAACCCACTCGGCAGCCACAACTGCCTGTAACTCCATTTCCAGAGGATCCAATGCTCTTTTCTGGTTTATAGGGACCCTACATGCACATAGTGCACAGACAGACATTCAGGCAAAACACCCACACATATAAAATAATAGATAATTAAAAAAATAAGATGTAGAATTGATGAAGACACCATTGTTAACCTCTGGCCTCCACATACATGTACACACAAATTTACACACACCTGCACACATATGAATACATATATATGCCACAGGCACACAAAACCACATGTGTACTAAACACATACAGACTTCCCCTGATTATTTTTCTGTAAATAATAGTGTCTAAAGCTAGTTTAAAGTCTTTGGGAGGATGTGCATTGGTTATACAAAATTCTCCATAGTCTAATGTGGGAGATAAACACCTGGAGGCTTGGGCATTTATAAGAGTCTTGGAACTAACTGCCGCTAGATACAAAGGATGGTTGCAGATCTGAATGTGGAGCAACACGGTTATCTGTTTTTTGTTTTTTGTTTTGTCCGAAATGGTCTTGCTATGTAGTCCTGGCTGTTCTTGAACTGACTGTGTAGATCAGGATAGCCTCAAACTCACAGAGGCCTTGTGCCTCTTCCTTTCAAAGGCTGGGATTAAAGGTGTGCACCACCACATCCGGCCAAGGAGGTTATCTGTATGAATGAATAGGTAGGTGCCTGTGTGCAAGAATAGTGTATGCATGGGTGTGCACCTGTGAATATATTGCTAATCTTAATGAGCACCTGCTGTTTGAGCGTGTGCATGTGTATTCTTGGATGTGTGAAGAAGTTAGAGGAGACAGTTGCTATCTTCTTCGGTCATTGTCTACCGTGTTTTTCTGAGATAAGGTCTCTGACTGAACCTGAAACTTGCTGATTGGGCAAGGCTGGCCATGCCGCTAGCCTGAAGGATCTGCCTGTCTCCATCTCTTAGGTGTTTGGATTACAAGTATGTACCACCATGCCCAGCTTTAAAAAAAAAATGATTATTTGTGTGTGTGTGTGTGTGTGTGTGTGTGTGTGTGTGTGTGTGTGTGTGTATAAGAGAGAGAGAGAGAGAGAGAGAGAGAGAGAGAGAGTTATATGCCATAGCATGCATGAGGAGGTCACAGAACAACTTGCAAAAGTCAGTTTGCTCCCTCTACAGTGCTACAGTGTGAGTCTGGGAATCAGTGAACTCAGATCCAAGGCTTGGCAACAGGCACCTTTATGTGCTGAGCCATTTTGCTGGCTCTCTTGCTTTTTATTTTTATTTTTTAAGGCACACAAAGCACTTCACTGGCTGCGCCATCTCTCTTTAAAAGAGCGCCCTGTGCTCTTTTAAAATATTTATTATTTAAGTATATGAGTGCTCTATCTGCATGTATACCTGCACACCAGAAGAGGGCATCAGATCCCACTACAGATGCTTGTGAGCCACCGTGTGGCTGCTGGGAATTGAACTCAGGACCTCTGGAAGACCAGCTGGTGCTCTTAACCACTGAGTCATCTCTCTGGTTCCTTGATACAAGGTCTTTCCCTCAGCTCAGGCTCATCTTTGCCTTCCACTTTTCCTTCCTCAGCCTCCAAATGCTGAGATACTAGAAGCTGGGGGATCCCAATGCCTTGTGTGTATTATGCATGCCATGCACTGTTAAAAATGCAGTATCTGTTGACCGGGTCTACTGTAGTCTTTACAGGTGGCTAACACAAAGCAGAGAGGAGTACCTCTCACTCCAGGCAGTGGTTCTCAACCCGTGGGTCCTGCATATCAGACATCTACATTACGATTCCTAACAGTAGCAAAACTGCAGTTATGAAGTAGCAACGGAATAATTTTATGATGGGGGTGTCACCACAACATGAGGAGATGCAGCGTTAGAGGTTGAGAGCCATTGACCTCAGGCTGCATTTAAGCCCAGGCAAGCTGTCTGCACTAGAGCATCTGGCCCTAGACCTTTTTTCCCACTCTTCCCTCTCTCACTTTATTGTTCTGGGTCCTGGTTGCAGATTGGCAGTGAGGGTATGATACCTAAAGGCTAGCTGCAGGTCCCCAGGACTCGAGGCCCAGGAAGGGGGAGGCACTTACAATGTTCATGATGGCCAACACATACTGCTCCACGTCTCTCCGCCCGTGGTAGGCCACCATCATCTTGTCGGCTACCACCAGGGTCTCCACATAACGCTCCCTGCTGACTGATCGCTTCAGGCCTGGCTGGCCTCGCTCTGTCTCATTCCCCAGAGGTCTGGCAGGCGGTGGCTTCAGGGTACGCAACCACCATGGACGACCCTTCCATGGTTTCTCATCTGGGAGACAAAGTAGAACCAACTGAGCACCTATTGCTGGTGGGTCATAGAACTGCCTGACAACGGTCATACAGAACTCTAGGCTATCTGTGACTCTCCTGCCTAATAGCCTAAGTAAACAGTGTTTGTTCTTGTTCAATCCCCTTCCCTCCACCTTCCCAGTACTGAGATGAAGGGTTTGTGTTCTCACACTGGCTTCATATAGCTTTCCTGTTCTCTCACTCCCTAAATGTTCTGCAGTGACCAGTCATGCTTCGAACACGATTGTATGAACAGAGCAGTGCTCATGCCCTTCAGCTGAATGACTGAATGTGCATTGTGCACGTAGAGGCCAGAGGTTGAGAGTAGGCATCTTCCTCGGTGGCTCTCCACTGTATATACTAGAGCCCAGAGTTCACTGATTCATCTAGTCTAGTATCCTGCTGCTCTAGGCATCCCTGTCCCTGTCCTTCCTAGTTCTGGGGTTTTAGGTAGCCTCCCATTCCTGCCTGGGTGCTAGAGATATGAACTAATAAATTCTGGTCCTCAGACTTGCATGGTGAGGGCTTTACTCCCAAGCCATCTCCTCAGCCTGGCTTCTGTGTGCATATTTTGTAGGGCCTTATACAACTCGGGTAAGCATTCTACCATGAACTCACTCCTAGCTCTTGTTGTCACTTTGCTGCATAGCCACCCAAGTGTCTGCTCTGATCACTCTGCAGCTTAACTGTGTGATCTGGCAGATACTTCTTGGTAAGGAATGTTTTCCCCCACTGAACATCTATCACAGACAACTGGCCACAGCAATGACGGGCCACTCCACTGCCTTACAGCATCACCCTCTTAGGATCTGCATGCTTTCCAGCCTCCTGCCTGAAGATGAATGGAGCTCTAGAATTCAATGGCTGTTCTTTCCCAACAGTGTTTTTCCTCATTCTATAGCACCCTGTTGACCTTTGTGGTAGAAAGACTGCTGCCTGTCTTCGCCTCAAAGGAGTAATGTCATCTAACCTCCCTACCCATCCCCAAGACACAGGGGTACCTCTCACTCCACAGGCTGTGTCCAGATGGGGGTGACGCAGAGAGGAACGCTTGTATACCACGTGGGGACCACTCTCTTCCGGGCCTCGGCGACCCTTGGGCCCACCTTGCAGGGGCTCAATCAGATACTCCTCCTCGCCTGCCACGATCAGACCATGCTGGGCAGGGACAGAAAGCTCAGTTCAGACTCTGGTATCCTGGACCTCTCTACGAGCTCATCTCTTTCTTCACCTTTCTCAGTACTAGGAATCAAACCTAGAGTCTTGTGCATGCTTGGCAAGCACTCTACCATTGAAATATATCCCCAGCTCCCTTTTTGTCTGGTTCTTTTTTCTGAGGTGGGGGTCTTATATAGCTCATGCGGTCTAGGAACTTACGGTAGCCCAGGCTGGCCTGAAACTCACTATATAGTTGAGGATGACTCAGAACTTCTGTCTCCACCTTCCAAATGGTTGGGATTAGGGGCTCATGTAAACACACATCTGGTTTGTATTCTGTGTGTGTGTGTGTGTGTGTGTACACTTTGTAGAGGTGCCCAACCTGAGCACTCCTCCAGATGGGGTCCCTCAAACTGGATCTGGAGCTTGTTTTCTGGTTAGACTGGCTGTCTATGAAGCCCTCCAAAATCTGCCTATCTTTGCCCGCCACCTAGCATTCCAGTTCTCTAACTGTGTGCTCAGAGTGTGGATCTGAACTCAACTCCTTGTGTATAAACTCCACTAACTATGACACTTCCTCCTCCTCCTCAGAAAAAAAAAAAGACAACTCTTTAAAAAATTAAAAACACGGGGCTGGAGAGATGGCTCAGGGGTTAAGAGCACTGACTGCTCTTCCAGAGGTTCTGAGTTCAATTCCCAGCAACCACATGGTGGCTCACAACCATCTGTAATGTGATCTGGTGCCCTCTTCTGGCATGCACTGTATACATGATAAATAAATAAATAAATCTTAAAAAAAAAGACAAAAAATTAAAAATACAATTTCATCATTTCTCCCCTTTCTTGCCTTTAGCCACTCCTAAACTTTTTAATTCCTTAAAAGTGTTTTAACATTTATTTGTGTGTGGATGTATGGGGACCGAGGACAACTTGAGGAAGTTATTCTCTCCTTCCACGATGTGGGTCTTGGGGAAGGAACTCAAATCTTCAGGATTGTCAGCAAGCGCCTTTATCCATGAGCCATCTCACTGGCCTTACTTATTGACTTCATCATGCTATGCTATTTGTCTACTTTCTTGTGAAAGATTTCCCTTTCCTTTCGGCCTTACATAAGGCTATACATTTTCCTTTAAGTACATCTTCAGCTACATCTCAAAGGACCGATGAGCTCAAAATACTTTTAAAACACTCCACTACGATTGCTTCATTCTGTTGCGCATGCGCTTTTCTTAACTTCCAGAAGAAAGTGAGCATTTCCCCCTCTTCCCAGAATCCTCAGCTTACCAGGCCCCCACAGGTGCTGATGGCTACGTGGGAGCTACCAGCCTGGCCTTGTAGGTGGCCAGCGTAGAGGCAGTGGGCTCGGGCAGCCCTCTGCCAGGCCAGGCCTTCCCGTGTCCAGTATTCCACCGAGACGTGCCCCGCCAGGAGACGGGGGCTGCGCGTCAGATTCAGCAGGAAGTGAGTGCTGGGTGCTGCCACCTTGTAGAATAGGCGAGACTCGGATGTGGCCCCCGTACCCCGACGCTGCCTCCTGAGGGCAGGTGGAGAGAAGGCCAGCATTGCCCCGTTGTGATCCACGCGGGTTGGGAAGGCAATCTCATAGCTCTCCAAACTGGACAGGAGTTCATCTATAGGTAGAGGGATCAGAAGACAGGGGTGGGTCCCTGCTGCCGAAGCCAGTAATGCTGGTGTCACCCATCCCTGAATCCAGCTCACCAACTATTCTGCATATATACTTCCAGGAATCAAGACTCCCCCAACCATAGCCCACTGACTTTCTTTTTCTCAAGGACCAACTGGCTTCCTTAGTTTCTTGTTCCCTTCAAATCGCTACCATTGGATGTTTCCTACCTTGAGATCTGAAGGCATGCGTGACCTTGAACGTGAGGCCCAGCCCCAGGGCAAGGGCCCAGCGGAGGATCTGGCAGGCAGAAGCCATAGGGGCTACGTGTCCACATGTCTCTCCCCAGCCCCGGCTGCTGGCAGCCTCTACAGTGCTGCCTCCCCTGTTCACAGTCTGGGCAGCATCACCGGTCTCCTGGGAAGAGAGACTGAGTCAGGAGAGGTCTTGGTCCCATTGCCCAGCATAGCTTATGCCAAGGCCCCCTGCCGACTGAAAGGGGCATCCTGTAGCCTCTCCATGACCAAGGCACTTCTATCAGAAGATTCCCGAATACTGTTAGTATTTGTTTCTATCTCCCACCTCCTCCCCATTATGTCCCCACTCAGAGGGGACAGGGACCAGAACAAAAAGCCACCTTCTCATGTAAATGACCTAGAATCACCTGGGAGGTGGGCCTCTGAACATGCCAGTCAGGGATAACACTAATTGGGGTCATTGAGGTGGGGAGACCCAACCTAAAAGTGGGTGGGACCAGTCCCTGGGCTGCATGAGACAGTGAAGGAAGAAGGGTTGATGGGTAAGGATGCTTGCCACCGGGCCTGACAACCTGTGTTCAACCTCCCAAGCCCACATAGTGAATGGCGAGAAATGATGACTGACTTCCTGCAAGTTGTCCTCTGATTTCCACAGTTGTGCCTGTGGCGCAAGAGTGATTGTGCTCACACGCACACACATAATCAATGAATGTAATTATTACAGAGAGGGAGGAAGCTGGGGTTGGGTCTCTGTTTTCTGATTGTGGATGCGATGTGTCCAGATGCTACAGGTCCTGGCTACCTGACTTCTGTACCCTGAACCATGAGCTAAAATAAGCCCTTTATCACTTAAATTATTGTTGTCAGGGTATTTTGTCATAGCAATAAGAAAAACTAAGACAAAAAACTGGTGAATTTCTCTTTCAGCATAATAAGTCCCCTCCTTGTATAGATGAGAGATGAAGATGGACTAGGGTTACCCAGCAGAATGAGGTAGAAAGCAGATTCACTTAATAGTTAATGATTGGCCTGGGCTGGCTTGGGGTTGAGGGTGAAGAAGATGGTCTCATGGCTCCCCACATGACAGTAAGTGTTGTCTTCCATCCCCCTGAAGCTTTGCTCCTGGGAGTGACAGGCACTTCAATGTGAAAAAAGGACGTCTCAGATTGTGATACGTTCTCTAGAGAAACCAGCTAGAACCTGGGAAGCTGAGCAGCGTGCACCAGGCAGGGGAACTGCAAAATCAAAAGTCTGGGGGAGGGTGAGCAGTTAGCTGGCTCAGCAGATTTGCTGTGGAAGTTTGCCTGACCGATCTGGGCTTGCTCTCCAGATCCTGTGTGGAAAGAGAATTGACTCTGGAGTTGTCCTCTGACGTTCACACACCAATCAATAAATATCCTTTGACCTCCTTAGTCGCACACATCAAAAACAAAACAGAAAATAAAAGGCCAGGTGGTGATGGCACAGCACTAGGGAGGCAGAGGCAGGTGGATCTCTGTGAGTTCCAGACCAGCCTAGTCTTCAAGAGCTAGTTCCAGGACAGGCTCCAAAGGTACATAGAGAAACCCTGTCTCGAAAAACAACAACAACAAAAACCAAACCAAACCAAAAATAAATAAATAAATAAATAAATAAACCAAAACAAACCTTTAAGATCTATGATCATGCAAGATCTAGCTTGGCTCACCAACAAGCCTGATGCCCTGAAACACACACACACACACACACACACACACACACACACACAGAAACCCCAAAGCGAACAAACACCAAAACAAAACAAAACCCAGTAAATGTAACTTAAAAAAACAAAACAAGCAAACAAACTAACTCCTGAAACCAAACAAAAAACTTAGGTCAGGGACAATTTTCTTTCTTTAAGTCCTCCAACATCTTGAGATCTGACTTTGGATCCCTAGCTACAGGTAGTTTGTTTTTCCCTCTCTGTTTTGCCAGACAAGGTCTCTCTGTATAGCCCTGACTATCCCGGTACTCACTCTTTTCACCAGGCTGGCTTTGAACTCAGAGATCTACCTGCCTCTGCCTCCCTAATGCTGGGAGCAAATATGTGCGCCACCATGCCTGGCTTATAGGTAGGTTGTTAATGTCCCACATCGTGGTCACATATTCCCAGAGGCTTTACCTTCACCCTACTTTCCTAGCCTTGCTCTTTCATTTTTAAAAAATTACATTCCTTTATTTTGTATGTATGGGGGTCAGAGAACAGCTCTCGGGAGTTGGTTCTCTCCTTCCACCATGTGGGGCCACAGGATCCATCTTAGGTCAGCAGGCTTGGCAGCAAGCTCCTTTATCCACTGAGTCATCTTGCTTGCCCTCTAGCCCTGGTCTTTATTCTGTTTTTGCTCTCAGATCCGGCAGGCCTGTTTCTCAGGCATCTGCCCCAGGCTAGTCTGTTGCAGACACTTCTTTGGGCTAACCACTCTGTGCCAAGCCCCTTCCCTGCCCTCTGGTCTCCACCCTCCACCTCCTCTTCTGTGCAAATCCAAGCCCCCCTTAATCACACACTGTCTTGTTTTCTTTGCATTCCAGCCAAGTCTGAGAGTCGATCCCCAAACAGGGCAGTTTGGCAACAGAGAGAGAAGCCGGAATTTCTCCAACATACTAGTGGAGAAAGCCACATTCCCTACTTCTGCTTGGGTCCTTCCAGTAATAGGAGGCTCTCTCTCGGATATTTTGAGACTCTGCAGTTTTGTTCAGCCAGGCTAATGTGTACCCTTGGTTGGATGGTGGGTTCCTTTCGTCTTCTTCTCAGATCCCATTTATGTGTGTGTGTGGGGGGGCGCTCAATAGTTAGTATAATGTTAAATCCTGTGTATGGACTCTTCAGTCAGTTGGCACTGGGCAGGGGACCCAGCTTGAAGGGGTACAAAGGGAAAGAGGCAGGTTGATCTTCAGTCCTAAGCTGAGCTTTGTTTGTTTGAGACAGAATCTCATATCTCAGGTTCACCTCAGACATTTTATGTAGCTTAAAACTTGAATTTTTGATTCTCTTGCTTTTACCTCCCATGTACCAGGATGCCACCATACCCAGTCTGTGCAGCGCTGGGGATCAAACCCAGGCCATAAACACTCTAACTGATCTATATTCTCAGCTTCCTTGAGATGAGTTTTTGGAGTTGAAAGTTTGCTGAGTCTTCTAATGCCTTCCTTGGGCCGGGTAATAATTCTCTTCGCTGTCATCCTTTCTCGGTTCCTAAAGCAACATCTCCCACTCCCCCGAAGGTCTTCTTCCTATTTCTTCTTACCTCTTTCCCACCACTTCTTCCGTGGAGACCTCAACTAAATCTGAAATCGACCCAAGCGACAGGAGAGATAGCTCAGTAGTTTAAAATGGTTTTGTTCCCTCCCAGCACCCACACTAGGCAGATTACAACCACTTATAACTCCAGTTCCAGGGGATGATGCCCTCTTCGGGCTGCCATGGGCACTTAACATAAACATGGTACACATAAACTCATGCCAGCACAAACATGTACACATTTATATACATAAATGTATTTTTAAAATGTCTTTAAATTTTAAAAAGACTCTGATCATGATTCTGTCTATCCTTAATTAACCTGCTTCCACTCAATGTAGCCACGTCTCAATACAATTGAGGCAGGGGACCGAGCCTCCCAACCTCTGCTCCCCCCATCTAGTCCTACCAGGAGGAGAACCTGATTATGGTGCCTTTGAGACCCCAGCCCCCAGTCCACTATTGTTGAGCTCCCACCCCTCCCAGTTTCTGGCTCAGGGTAGAAGGACTTCACTGGGTGAGTAACTGATGGAGGTGGGGGGTCACCTGCCCACAGAGTGGTAACTACTGGTAGGAGTGACACACTCCCCGATCCCAAGATGGGACTATGGGAGAGATCACAGCGGGTCTGGGGGAGACAAGGCCTATGGGAGGATGGGTTCCATTTGAGAGGGGTCTCCTGCTTGGCTGGGCTCAAGATCATAGAGGGGGAATCTACACTCCGAGTGTGTATTAGGCTTGTATAACTGTGTGTGTGTGTGTGTGTGTGTGTGTGTGTGTGTGTGTGTACATCTAGGCTTGCCCCCCCCCCTCCCCAGCACCTCCTCTAGCAGGTTGGAGGGAGGCCACCAGCCTGGGGGAGGGGGCAAGGGTTGGAGAAAATGCCTCCCGGAAAGTATGGCTCCATCCCATCCCTGGGATCCTGCAGGGACCAGCACTCCACACCAACATTTCTGTAGGCCAGGCTGTGGGGGAAACCCGGCTGCAGAGGCTTTCCGGTGGAGGACAGAGTCTCTAGGGCCAGACACAAGCAGCCATCAGCCCGGAGCAGTAGGCTCCCTCCAGGCATTGCACATCTGGCCAGGCTGCGGTGAGCAGACAGACAAAGGCCCAGCCAAGGAGGAGGCCTGAGGGGGAGGGGGCTGTGCTGGTCACCACCCCCATTACCACCAACCAGCTGTTAATTAGTGTGTCTCCCACTGGTAGGAAGACACCCAGTCTAAGAGTACCTTGGCCTAGATGACCAACTGAGAGGAAGCAGCCCCAGTCAGACACACAAACACAAACACACACTCACATTCTACAGGGCAACCACACCTGTATAGCAGGAAGGCCTGGTTCACTAAACCCAAAGACAACACTACATACTCCCAAACCCATGTATACAGAAACACATTTCCACATGGACACCCAGGCAACCCACAAGCTCAGACAAACATGTACATCAGAGGCCTATGTGTACACAGTTACACAAGCCAAAGCAACTCACAAGCCCATGGGCCTACACACACTCATTTAACACAGAAAGCCAACACACACACACACACACACACACACACACACACACACACACACACGTGCACAAGTTTCCACATTTACAGAAGAGGAGACAAACTCAAATCCTACATACACAGGTATTTCTACTAATCACACTCCAGAGAAATGAAAATATTCAGACACACTCGGCATCCACACACACACACACACACACACACACACACACACACACACACACGCACGCACACGCACGCGCACACACGAGACAGGCATTTTTCCGAGTTGCAAACACCAGTTTAACCTCA